TTTCAAAGCGATTGTTAGAATATTTGGTGCCTCCAGGATCGTTAAGCGCTTCCATGCCTTGACATAATCATTGCATCTGCAAGAACATGTCATTCATTAGTGTTAGGCTGTCTGGTATTACAGAAAGAAAACCAAGGGAAGATGCAAACGAAAAACTACTGAATGAACCTTTAAAATATCATATCAGAACAAATATAATTTCAAACAATCAACAACTGAGCAGTAGACAGTTAGAACAAACATCAAGAGCAACTCATCACCCAGATATTTTTAGGTAAGTTACACCTGCTCTCCCAAAAACAATGTCTGTGATGATTGACTAATTTAATGATTAACCTAAGAAGTAATACCAACAAGAAACTTTGAAAATATTTCCCCAAAAAAAAGAAGATAAATTGAGGAAGTTCTGGCATAAAAAAGTACAGGTTTTGCACTAGAAATTAGGTCAAACCAGGTGTGACAGAGTGAACCTGCATTCTATGTCCTAGCCACTTAGCCAGTCGTGTAATTAAAATGGATTGACATAAAAGTGAGAATAAAAGCAATGATCAGCATTGCATTGGCAGAATGTATACTGGCATGTCTTCACTTGAAGGAATAACTAACTGGTATTTAAAAGTATAGACTAAGGTCACAGGTGCCCTTTTGAAGAAGAAAGTCGGCATTTAAGAGAAGAAGCTACCTATCACATTTATACATATCTTCACCATCCATACACTCTTCGGCAGTGAATTGATCTAAGCATTTCTCCAAAGAATCAGCTTCCCCATTAATCCCTACAGTCAGATCCATCATATTCTCGAACTGATTTGAGTGATTACCACATGCTGTACATGCAACCTAAAAGTAACAATAGCACATTATGCGACAAAAGATGGAAGGGAGATTGACACTATACAAAAGTGTAAATACTGTGCAGCTTATATGTAAAAAAAATTTTGAAAGCACATATTCATCAATCAACTATGCCTCAATCCCATACCAACTCAGGGATCAAGTATATGAATCTTCTGTACAAACCAACACACAGAAATTTGTGTGGCCAATACAACAAATATCATGATAATAACTTTTTTAATCTGTTTCACATTGCACAATCACATTGAATAACTCTTTTCTCTCATAAATTAAAGATTACCTGAGATTGAAGGCGACCACCAAATATATGCTGAATAATAGTTGTTTCCTGAGCGCTAAGAGGTTCAGCCTTATCTCCATCAAATTCAGCAAGTACTGCCGATTGCATTGTGTCAATAGCAAACCTACCAAGTAGGCAACTTTATTATGATTCGACATGTTTACTGACATACAACACAAGTAATTACATTATTGATCTTCATAAATCAGGTTTCCATGTTGTGCATTATAGCAAATTTACACATCAACTCAGCTCAGACAACAACATACCTCATAAACTCATGGGCATCCTCCTGCTTTCCACAAGAAAGATTACCACCAATGTTAGGCAACCCTGATAGTACGTCAATTGGTGAAAAGGGATCATGACACCAGGTACATTGTTCCACATGGAGTTGAAATTCGCAGAGGAAGCACCAACCATTCGATCTACCTGGGCAGAAAGAGAGGATAAATGATATAATAATTAATTCCAATAATTTAAAACAAAGGGTTAGTTCATCATAATAATTTGATTTGATGCAGTTACATTCTCTTCTATGGCCTCTCTCCAACAAGTAGGCGAGAAGTGGTCTAGTCTGTGTTAGACATTGCAGAACCACATTAGCAAAACAGCTGCATAAGAACCAAAGAACGACATTAAGAAAACTCAAAGAATAGACTGAACGATAGATGACTATTGGTCGTTAAAAGTTTATACTAGAGATACCTGTTACCACAATTTATGAGTCTACGAGGAGGATAGCCTGAACCACCCCAGTAAAAGTAATTCAAGAATTCTTCATATGGAAAAAGTTCCTGAAACAGGTTAAATCCCAACTCCAGTCAGGTCTTTAAAATACATGTGTATTTGGTGTACGTAAAAAGCTAATTAAGGAAGAAACATGTACCTGATTATTTTTTCCGCCAAAAGGAACAAATGAAGTGCCAAACATGTACCTCCTTTGCAAAGTCGATGCTGATTGCTCAGAATTACCTTTAACAGATGATTGAAAATCCCTACATCCATACTTGTGCCCCGAGTTCCAATCGGATCTTTGGCAAGCATCAGAACTAGATAGATATATAGGCAGACAGACAGACAGAGAGAGAAATAAAACAATTAGCCACTATCCTACACTCAAAGTCAGATTTATATAAAGAGAAGCAGAAATATTATGGTTACTCCAAGGAAAGAAATGAAAACCAGAAAAACTAGGAAACAGCAGAAGTAGAAGAAAAGCTGAAAGAGAACAACAAATAAAGAACCCTGTAAGTGATGTGAAGTAATTGACAAGAATGCTTGTTGTGACTTGTGAGAGGAAGTATGCGTATCAACGATAACTTCTTTTGTTTCATAGAAGGTGATTAGGAGTTCTATTACTGAAAAAGTCAGCCAACTTTTGTACAGTGCAGGTCAGTACAAAAGTAGGGATGTATATACTCAGCTCGTCTGACATAGAGAAGCAGACATGCCAAACAAAAAGAAGCTCAAAACAGTTTATTCAGCACTAAAAAAAATCTGTAACATAAGATCTTAATGAATTCCAACATGATTTGACAAGGATAGGCACACAACAGAAAGTTTATACGTCCACTTAATATGGAGTTTCTCTTTAGTTAAGTGCTTTAAGTTGAATGTCGGTCCTCTTTGACGATGTTGTCAAATCAACACTGAGCTCCAACTTTAATGCAAGGTCCCCAATACTGTGTCCAAGCTTGAATTGAGGCACTTTCGTGTACACACAAACATACATACATACATATATATATATTATATACACACAGAGAGAGAGAGAGGACGGAGTTCATAAAATTGGTAATCTTCCACCCAATTATAGGCTAGAGATGCCTCTCGCCACACTCCACTGATTGGGTAATTTAAAGAGCACTCTATTTTGGACTAAATTTTTTCTGTTTGACACCTTGCAAAGTGGATATTAAATGGTAAAGGAAGACATCACATGAAATCATTAGATCATGTGGCTATGAACCACGGTATTGGGGTTTTGAATCCTTCCTCACCCAGAACATGCTTACTCCGTCTCTTCTCATTATCATATATTCTACCTCTCTGAACTTCAAATACCCCTCCCACTCATTACACAAGTAATTCCCTGCAATTGAGCGGCATGGAACTCTTGGCCACATCAGTTACATACATAACATTATCACAAGAAACCCAAAATAGAGGCATGATGACAAGAACAGCAACATTTCATCCTCAAAAGGATAAGAGCCTCAGCCACCGGATGATCAGGAAAAATTTACAAGATCCTAACATGCATAAATCTTGCTAAATGGAATGAACAAAACTATTTCCTACTCTATCACAAAGAATAGCAAGCAGTAGATCAAATTATCGTTCTATCCTTCACAGAATTAAGCAATTTACCAAATTTCCCTATCAAATGGTTCATCAAACTATTTACTCCACCTCACCTTCAACAAGACAACTAACAGAGTAATTGTAACATAATTTCTGGTTCAGTTATACCTAAATCTTGTAGCATTTCTCTACATATACAGCTCAAATTAACCCTAGAAAAACAATCATCAAGTCTACCTAGAAACGCGTGTAACTTTCACTTCAATCAAAAACGATTACACAAACTACCAACGAGAACTTCAGTATCTGTGTATAAAATCGCGAATTCGAAAAGTGTGCATACCAGTAATTAACCATCTTGCAGCGGGAGCATCGTTTAGAGGTGGCATTGCCGCAGACGGCGCAAGCACTCGGCAGCCCCATATTCCGATCGGCGACGTCGAATTATCACCGGAATCAAAATTACCGGCGAAATGTGGAGTAGTTAAGTAGAGTTGCTGCGAAAAAGAAGTATTGAATTGCAAATACCGAATTTATAGGCTCTTTGTTTCTAGAACTTTATAGGAACTTTCTAGACCTTTTGGGAAATTCAAGTAACTGAATTTGGTGTTAGTTGATACTAGTAACTGAAATTCAAGTAGTTCTTGTTTTTGAGTTCTTTTTGGGTAAAAAATGCCCTCTAAATTTTTGAAAATAACTTACGAGAGTGTTTGATTATGAAAATTGTGAGTATTTGTATTTTGGGAAATTATATGAATTTGTAAGCTAGCGTTTGGCCATAGATATTCAAATATTTTTGGCAAATATTATTTGGATGATAATTTGGGTGAAATTTTAGCATGTGTTTTGCCATAGAATTTGAGAAATATATTTCATTTTTTTAAGAAATATGATTTATACTCATAAGTTTTTAAAACTATCAAACTAACCATAAATTTGTATTACATAGCACAATAGAAATCTCATGTAACAAGATTTATGACTTCCGCAACAAATCAACAAGAATCATTACAATCAACCTATTCTTTAATATAATCTTCTCACATTTTATAAACAATCTCTTCTCGATGAGCTTGCATTTCCGAATCAGATGATCAAGAAGATGAAGCGATGTTGTTACCCTAAGCCAATAGTTCGTCACTTTCATCAACAACCATATCATCATTTTCATATTCATTGAATATTCCATCACTACTTTGGTGTTCACGTAAAAAATTATGCAATACAGCGCAAGCAATTACTATTTTCACTTGCATGTCACATTCATAGTTGTTCATGCCTTGTCTTAGTATTCTGAATCTACTTTTCCACGCATCAAAAGTTCATTCTATTACATTGCGCAGAGAAGCATGTCTATAATTAAATAGCTCTTTTCCATTCTTAGGCTCTCTTTCACTTCCTCGGTAGTCCTGCAAATGATAGCACATTCCTTTGAATGGAGCTAAAAATCCTCTTGTGTTCCGTAGACCAGCATCAACAACGTAATATTTATCTGTCAAAATAAAATAAATGCAATTCATGTTTTATTTAGTAGCTAGTTCATTAAGACTAAATAATGTTGGCAGATTGGGAGCTAATTGAATTGGTTGGTGTCAATAAATATATTATTTTTGTAAAATAAAAAGTTAAGGGTAAAAATTGAATTTCTAAAACTTTCCAAATAATGAAATTTGGCCCAAATACTAGTTTTTTTCTAGTATTTGGGAATTTGGAAAATTTACCAAAAAAATTTGCCAAATAATAAAAAAGTGTATGGACAAACAAAATTTGCCAAGTTTTTTCCCAAGTTTTACTTGCAAAATTTATGGCCAAACGGCCCTAATAATCCATGAAACAATCACTTGGGGAATTGGGGGTCATTTGATAGTCGATTAGAGCTACGCAAGTATTAGTATAATAGCATACCCATTGGAATATCATAATTGGGGTCTGGAGATGCAGAGTGCGTACAAATTTTATCACTATCTCGTAAAGGTAGAGCAATTGTTTCCTATGCAAGTGTTAGTAACATATGAATTAGTTATGAGTGAATGTATTATTTTATGCACGTATTAGTTATACAGAAACTGCATAAAATAAAAGTACATAGACACGTAAGACAACAGGTGTACAAAATTACAAAAAAAAAAAAAAAGTTCAAGGAGGTAATAGAACCTTAGTTAGTTAAAGTGTGTCTCTGCGATTTCGGTTATAGTTTAAGGGAACTTGTGTCTTACTCCAATTGAATAAGTAGACAAATTTTAATAGTCTAGGGAGTATTTGTGTCTTATTCCAATCGAATAAGTAGACAAAAATTTTTTTAAATGGCAATAGAAATAAAATATATTTGAATAATGTTGAATATATTTTTAAAAGATAGAAAAAAGGTGAATATATAATATATTTATTTTCAACTTTATACAAGTTTAAGTGTTTACTTGTGCACATTCAAAGTTAAGAGTCATAGTTGTCAACTGACGCCAAGTTAAGGGTCATATTTATGTATTATGTCTTAACTGATTTATGTATCAGATTTCATTTCACCCCACTGTTTGTGGATGAATGACTGCTCTATCTTGTAAAGATTTTGGATTCGTCGAAACAAGAACTTAACATGAGAGTTAGGTAATCGTCTATGTAATGTCATTTGGTCTGTTTCAATTTATGTGACTTAGTTTGACGAGAATAAAGTTTAAGAAAGTAAAGAAGATTTTTTCCTATTTTTACCAGGAGGAGGATATGTTGGGAGAGTTTAGCAAAGCCCATGAAGCTATTAGGTGAGTTTACTCGTATCGTAAATAATAAGTTTAGAGCTTCATTCGTTATGTGTTTTTACATTTGAACGATAATGAAGAGGTGTGGAATTCATACAGCAGACCCCAACTCGTTTGTTACTGAGTCGTAGTTGTTGTATTTTCATAATCTTGTTCTCGTGATGTGTGTCAGGTCATTAGATAGTTCAATTGCTAAGATCAGCGCCTTCAACCAAGACGTTCCTTGGTACGAAGGAAATGGAAGATTTACCTACCATGATCACCGCGGATACTGAAAGAATTGGGATAAGAAGGAAGCCTTTTGTGGTAATTGGAATAAACACCGCGTTCAGTAGCAGAAGGAGACGTGATTCCATTAGAGAAACTTGGATGCCTCAAGGTACGTAACGTATATATCTACATCACATTTTTCGTTTTTCTGGTTGCATCCTCCTTTAACGATACGTGTATATTAGGTGAAAAACTACTCCGATTAGAGCAAGAAAAAGGGATCATTGTTCGCTTCATGATAGGCCACAGGTGAACATTTCTTGCCAATGTTGTATTCTGAGGTTTTCATTTTGAAATGATTCGATATATCTTGTGTTGTTTAGCCTTTTTTCTTGTACAAAGACAACTCTAGTCCTCTCGTACTCGATCAGACTCTTCAAAAATATTGTAAGATGTGTTCCGAGCAACATATGTAGCTCAGAATGACATATCATTTTGCCTATTTAGTCGAATCATTGGTTATGGCATTTACATATCGAACAATTTGGGCATATTCTAGCCTAAACGTTATGTCTGTCTTTTTTATACAGTGCTATATCTAATAGCATTTTAGATCGAGTCGTTGATCTTGAAGATGCTCAGCATAAAGACATGACAATTCGATCTGCATTTTTGTATATACGGTTGAATTATACTTATACTGTCATCTCGGATTTGCTATTTTACAGGATCACATAGAAGGATACCACGAGTTATCTGCAAAAACAAAAGATTTTTTCGCTACTGCAGTTGCAAACTGGGATGCAGAGTTCTATGTAAAGGTTGATGACGATATTCACGTTAATTTAGGTACATACATATATATATCCACTCTCCTTTTGATGACGATGTAATGTAAGTTCATGTTAACTGTCCGTGTATGGAAGTTAAACTCTTTGAATGTCACGATGTTGAATAGGCACTCTGGCTGCAACGCTAGCCAGACATCGATTGAAATCAATGGTGTATATAGGATGCATGAAATCCGGTCCAGTAATTTCCTCTGAAACTTCTAATTTCAAGACATTCTTAGTTCGTAACAGGTAAGATATACATTTGTTCTGTTTAGAAGTTCCTGATAGATTTTGTAAATCGACGAGAAAGACTTCTTTTGAGTCTCTAACAAGACTTTGCAATGCGCGTTGCTGTAAATAATCAAGAACTAGTCTTGTACTTCCTCTGTCTGGTTCTGACTTGACCCGGAGTTTAAGAAAATGAAGATGAACTTCTGAATCTTGAGGTGTTAATGATCTCGTGTGTTAAGTTAGAAGTAAAAAGTTGTGAAGAAACGGAAGAGACGTTCTTCATCAAACGTACTAAACAGGAATGTAAGACACACAAATTGAAACGGAGAGAATATGGTGATTTCAGGCCTATTCTGCATAAATATGCAAATGAAGATGTTTCACTTGGATCATGGTTAATCGGTCTTGAAGTTGAACACATCGATGAACGTAGAATGTGTTGTGGAACTCCTCCTGGTAAACAACTTGTAGATTGCATATTGTTTGTACCGTCAGTGTATAGAACTTAAACTCTTTCGAACTAATGATGTTCTACGACTTCATATGTTGTTGCAGAATGCGAATGGAAAGCACAAGGTGGTAAAGTTTGTGCAGCATCGTTCGAATGGAATTGCAGTGGAATTTGCAAATCCGTCCAGAGGATCAAGTATGTACACGCCAAGTGTGGCGAAAATGCTGCTACTCTTTGGGATGCTCTCTTGTAGTTTCGAGTTTATAGGTTCTCGATTCGTATATACATGAGATAATAGTAACACAGATGCACTAGTACGAGTCAAAAATTATTAAGTTCTGTCGAATCTGTAAGTATAATTGTAGCTCCGTCCACATGTAGATCCTACTAGTACTAGAGATAGGTAGATATAGTATTAAAGTGATCCACAAACTCTCGTTTTGATAGTCTCCTCTTATAGTAAAACTCAATATAGGATCTTTTAGAGCTTTTTCGTGAATGTAATGTCGATTTAAAGATATGTCGATATAGTATTTAAGCGACCCACAAACTCTCGTCAGACATTATAAGAATCGGTTTACACTCTTATTTTCGTTTTGCATATTAACCCCTCATTTCTTCCCTAAACTTCCCCCTCGTGTTTAATTTATCTTTTATCAGTTGCATCTTTATAATCGCGATTAGGATGTCATTTTTCGATGAATTCACGATATTTTTAGTCTCGCATCAAGTAAACAATAGTAAAATCTCTCCACTACACCTTTATCCTTACATATCTCAAACGCTCACATTTTTAAAGAGAGTTAAGTAGAAATCATGATAAAGTCGAAACTCGTAAAGATTTTTAAAAAAAAAATTAAGCAAATTTGGTTAATTACTCTTCTCTCCTTTCATGCTGAGTTTTTTCTAAGCCCATTTTGTCAATGGACTAAGTAGACATTTAAACATTAAAAATGTGATCTTTAGAGTAATACACAGATTAATTACGTAGGTTTAGCTTTTCATGTAATATAATAGTTATGCAAATTTTAAAATTACAAATCAGACATCGTATTAATTTTATACATGAGTAATTTACCTCCTAATCAATCACTAAACATGGTACTTATTACTTAAACATGATTAAATATCTATATAATTTATCTCCAAACCAATTACTGAGTACCGATTGACATCGAAGCTTATCCTAATATTTTTTTGGTCTAAATTTCAATTCTTCTAAAATTTAGGTGAAATTTGGAATAAAGATAAGATATGGGCACTTTGTGATATTAGGCCTAAATATTGACCGCCTAGCGGCCTCGCCTCCTTCAAAGCATTTTTTGTGATACAAACCCTTACAACGCAGAGTGTATATATATAAAGAAGAAGAAGAAGAAGAAGAAATTCGCCATTTTTGGAGATTTTGAAATGCCAGGCTTAACTTGTAACGCTTGTGACAAGGAATTTGTTGATGATACTGAGCAAAAGCTTCATTACAAATCTGAATGGCACCGATACAATCTTAAACGCAAGGTATTTGCTCAAAAACAAACCCCTTTTTGATACTTTTTTGTTTTGAAAAAGTGAAATTGTTTGTTTGTATGAATTGAATGTATTAGTTTGTGTTTGTTGTGTATTGGATTGAATGCTATGGAACCTCTGTAATTAGGGAGATTAAACATAGCCTCTATGTGCAGGGATAGAGCCAGATTGTTTGTTACAGGTTTGGCATAAGTCATAAACTAGTTATTTTGTCTCAAACCTTGTATTTTGTGTTTAAAAAATTCAATCTTTTTAGAACCCAGTAAAGAAAAATGATTCTGTTGAGCACCATGAGGTCTCGAGTGCAAATTGCAGTAGATAAAACACTAGGTGATGATGGATGGAATTACCTGGTTTTGGCTCAAACCTTGTATTTGTGTTAGAAAGATTCAATCTTTTTAGAACCCAGTAAAGAAAAATGATTCTGTTGAGCACCATGAGGTCGATATAACACTAGGTGATGATGGATAGAATTACCTAGTACTTGTTATAGGTGGGAGGTGGTAGATGTTTTGTGGAGGTGCGTGTGAGCTGGTCCATATACCACGGTTATCAGAAAAAAGAAGAGTTGTGGATTGAAACCCATAAACTAGAAATTGTGAACTTGGATGCACCTTAACTCCAACTAATTAATACTTGCCATCTTTCATCAAATAGGACTTTATCCATCAAGGCGTAGATAGTTGTAACAAATAAAGTAGCTTTTTTTTTTTGCTCCTGAATCTTGATTCAGTCATTTTCTTGTTCATTGAATAATCAATGTTCTTACCAAAGGGGGGGGGGGGTACATGCAATATATATGCTTTATTCTGTTGCAAAAAAGCATGTGGATCAAACTTATCAAAAAAACAAGCAGAAATTGGATTTCACCTATTAACAGAAGAAATGGATTATACTAGAAAATATACTACTAATATGATGCTTCATAGGATTTTTTTTCTTTTTATGTCTCTGGTGTCGTTACCAAATACCAAAATCCTACATATCACTGGCCTCTTTACCTATTAGTTTCATAGGCCTGGAAGAGTATGAGTCTGGTTATGGACCTGTGTCCAATCGATATTTTTCAACTGAATACTACCTAACTAGGGACTTCAGTTCATGCATCATTCATCAAAGCTTAGGATTGATGACTCTATATGTCTACTCTCTTCCATATGGTTCTTTATGGAATGGCTTCATGGGTTAGTATGCAGAATTGTGATGTTTTTGCTCTCATGCATGTTTTTTCAGGTTGCAGGAGTTCCTGGAGTGAGAGAGACTATTTTTCTAGCCAGACAGGCTGCACTTGCAGAAGAGAAGGAAAAGTTGAGTGAAACTCCATTGCTATATGCCTGTGGTCTGTGTGACAAAGAGTATAGAAGCTCCAAGGCTCATGCTCAGCATCTGAAATCTAAAAGTCACTTAGCACGGGCTTCTCAACAACCAGGTCATCCTAATGAGAATAGTGTTACAATCAAGCCGCTTCTACGCCACCCTCGAAATGAAACCTCACGCAAGGCCAAAGAGGATGTTATTGAGGAGAATGATGAAAGTGATGAAAGTGAATGGGAGGAGGTTGATCCAGATGAAGAGATGATTAGTGAAGCCACCGATTCTTTGACAGACTTGAAGATGGATGAGCATACATCTAATGGCAATATGGATGAAGATAGCGATGATGAATACGTTGGGAACTTAGACCCTTCGTGTTGCTTCATGTGTGATAAAGAACACAATACCATTGAGAGCTGCATGGTTCACATGCACAAGAATCATGGATTCTTCATCCCTGATGTCGAGTATCTTAAGGATCCCAAAGGGTTCCTTACTTACCTTGGTCTCAAGGTAGAATATGTGCTTCCTCTAGACCTTTTTCCAGCATTAACCATTTCCTGTGTTCACAATCTTTTTCTTTTTTCTCGTACAGGTTAAAAGGGATTTCATGTGCTTGTATTGCAACTACAGATGTCTACCTTTCAGCAGTTTAGAAGCAGTTCGGAAGCATATGGAAGCAAAGAATCATTGCAGAGTGCATTATGGTGATGGTGATGATGATGAAGAAGCTGAATTAGAAGAGTTTTATGACTATAGCAGCAGGTATAATTTCTAACATGATTGCTTTCAATGTAATTTTGGTAGGATGAGTGTAGTATATTCTTTTCAAGAATTTTTCTTAAAATAATTTAGGTAGGATGTGTATAGTGAAGCTCCGTACTGTTATTGCTTCTGAGGTTCTCTTCGGTTGTAGCTTTGTTGATGAATCTGGGAAACAGCTCATTTCATCGGATGACACGGGCAACAGTGTGGAACTTGGAAGTGGTGGATCTGAGCTCATAATAACAAGAAGAAATAATGATGGAAGATCTGTTAGGACTCTTGGATCAAGAGAGTTTTTGCGTTACTACCGACAGAAACTGAGGCCTACACGGACCAATGATGTGGCTATAAGTGCTGCATTAGCTGCAAGGTATGTATTAACTTGTTCAAAAGTGTCCATTTCATCACCTTCCTCCATCTTAAACCGTCATTTGAGCAAAACGCCCTTCCCTTCCCTTCCAGGTACCGAAGCATGGGTCTTGCAACTGTGCAGTCAAGAGAGCAAATGGTTAAGTTGAAGGTGTTGAGAGCCATGAACAAGTCTGGTGTGGAGATAATGCGCAGTAAGATTGGCATGAAAAGCAACGTCATTCGTAACCTCCCTAAGAACATACCATATTAGTCCTTTCAATAGTAATATTAGCCTTCTAAGAGATTGTTTTGGTGTTTCTGTTATTCCAACTTGTGTAATTCCTCATACTTTATAACTTTTTGGTTTGTATTGTCATATAGATTGTTTGGAAGTGACTTTTATATCTATTTCTAGCCCTGTTACGGTCAATTCACCAGGAGGATCGCGTTCCTAGTTTGACATCGCGTTACAGGGTATGTCTAATCTTTTTGCTGCCACAACGTTGGCTCTATGGAAAAACTCGAATACTCCTAGTTCTAGAAGTTACATGAGTCTATTTTTATCGGTATGGAGGATACTCCTCTACCTTTAATTATAGGTCTCGAAGCTCGAATAAGGAATATCATGTTATAACAAGTCATATGTCACACACCTACCCCTTCTAGCTTTACTACATGTTTCTAAAAATAGCTTTACTTTTATATCAAACTATAAAATGATGTTGAATTTATTATTATGCTCAAAGTTGCTATTAGTCTAATAGTAGGACTCTAGTACAACTTTTTTCTTGTTTTCTTATAGATGACGACGTTCGCATTAAAACTCTAACTAAATTCAGATTCACACTGAAAAATCTCATATTAAAGAATAAAGTTTGGGAGACTCGAAGACTACGCACTTAATTAGTGGCAAAACAAAAGGAAAATTTTCTTCTATATGAATTTCCCAATATGTAAGTGACATTTTTTTTAATTATGTGGAATAAGCCTAAGCAAGTTTTGACTTTACTCAAATAAGTGTGACTACTTAACATGGTAGCCCAAATTTTTCTAGCTTTTCTTGACAATAGACAATTTTTTTATTAGTACCAAAACATTACAAGTTATTGTCAAATCAAAAAAATGGCTTAGTATATTCTAAAAACAAGATTAGATCAAAATGGAGGTGGGAAAAGAAATATATATTAAAAAAATAAATTAATCTAAATAAACATCCATCCAATCACTTAAACCATAAATAACGATAAACGTGTTTTTCAATTTTTTTAAAAAAATTATTTAACATTTGATATCCACGTT